GCCTTCCATTTGGTATAGGCCCAGTGGTATCATCCGGAGGCAAGCCCCACCTGGGAGGGTAGGGGAGCAAGCAGAAGGGCTCCCAGCTAAGCCTTTTTCTGAAGAATTCTTTTTCCTCTTTCTGAAGAATGGATTACAGGCCAAAACTCTAGTGTTTTGGGGTGGTGCTTGGGTTTGAACCTGGAGTCACATACATGTAAGGCAGGAGCACTGCTTCTAAACTGTCTCCCCACCCAGCTGAACACATAGAGGGAAAAACACTAACTGTCTCCCAGGATTCAACCCAGTTCAACTTCTCATTTCTTTCTTTCTTTTTGGTTCTGGGGCCATCCCCAGGGGTGCTTCGGGGCTACTCCAGGCTCTGTGTTTGGAAGTTGCTCCCGGAGGTGCCGGGATTGAACCAGGCTTTTCACATGCAAACCCTGTACTCCAGCCCCTCGAGCAATTTCCCTATAGAGTTCCAACTTCTCCTTTCTAACAGGCTCATGTTCAGATTAGTTTATTTATGCCTATTTTGTGTAAAGAACTTACTAAGTGAAGGCAGTCTTGTGATAGTGATGGTCGTTATGGAATTAAGAATTTGAAATTTTATTTATTTATTTATTTTTGCTTTTTGGGTCACACCCAGCAATGCTTAGAGGTTACTCCTGGCTTTGCACTCAGGAATTACTCCTGGCGGTGCTTGGGGAACTATATGGGATGCCGGGGATCGAACCTGGGTCGGCTGTGTGCAAGGCAAACGCCCTCTCCGCTGTGCTATCGCTCCGGCCCCAAGAATTTGACATTTTAGAGTTTTTGAAGTAAGTATTTGGTGTCTGTTTTGTTCCTGGCACTAAAGAGATAACTAAAAAATAGTGCATTATCTTAAAGAGCACATAGTCCCAAGGGAATAGGAAACCATTAGTTTTTTCCTTAGTTTTCCTCCCACACAGTTTTGGGAATTGAAATTTTGATTTTTGCTTTTTGGATCACACCCGGTGATGCATAAGGTTACTCCTGGCTTATGCAGTCAGGAATTACTCCGGGTGGTGCTCGGGGGACCATATGGGATGCTGGGAATCGAACCTGAGTCGGCCGTGTACAAGGCAAACGCCCTACCTCCTGTGCTATGCTCCAGCCCCATATTGAAAATTTGGGTTTAGGCAAAACTTCACTTTTAAATGAGATTTTGTTGTAACAAATGCAAAAATGCCTCAATTATAGAATATCAAAGATAATATGCACATGTATATATAGAATATTTTTGTTTGAGACTGTGGAAGAGAAGATGAATAGCAAGAAGGAGATCAGGGAAGACTGCACAGTATAGGTGATACATGAATTGTCTTGAATAAATACAAATTTCGTAGATAAACATACATGTAAGTACTATATCTGTACAAATACTCCAACTTTTTTTTTTTTCAGAGTTTTTGGGTCACACCTGGCATTGCACAGGGGTTACTCCTGGCTCATGCACTCAGGAATTACTCCTGGCGGTGCTTGGTTGATCATATGGATGCTGGGAATCAAACCCAAGTCAGCCGCGTGCAAGGCAAACGCCCTACCCATTGTACTATCACTCCAGCCCCAAATACTCCAACTTTAAGAAGCTTATTCACACACTCCCCTCTCCTCCCTTACTTCCCCCCCCCCACACACACATATTTTCATCAAGGCTGTATGTTAGGATAGGATGGTAGGGAGAGATAAGGCAGAGATCCTGGACAGAAAAGCTTTCAGTGTCCTGGGGAGTCTACATGAGGGAGGATGAGCCTGATCATATAGAACAGAGTGGTAAAAATTTTAATATTTGTTTTTAAATTTATTTTAACTTTTTTTTGGGGGGGAGTAATACTGGCTGATGCCCAGAAGTTACTCCTGGTTCTGCTCAGGAATCCTGGCAGTGCTCGGGGGACTTTATGGGGTGCTAGGATTGAACCTGAATGACTGCAAGGCAGGTGCCCTACCCTCTTGTGCTGTCACTTCGACCCCAGGAATTTTAATATTTGTATCCATATAAAGTGCACTGGTAAACCATTGTGGGGTTTTGTGTGTGTGTGTGTGTGTGTGTGTGTGTGTGTGTCTGTCTGTCTGTCATAAATCTGAGCACACCAGGTATGGCCCCCAAACAAGTAAATAAGACAACCAGTTTGATTGTTTTGTGTTGAATGAATTGAAGAAGATCAGAATGGTGGTGGGGAAATTACAGGTGAACTTCTGTGATAGTCTCGATGGAAGTCAGTGTGATGGATTAGAAGTAAGAGTTGAAGAGTATTAGACAAATTTAAGAGATCTCAAGACGAAAATGTTCAGAACTTGGTGTTGGATTTAGAATGAGCGAAAAGAGTAAATGTTGAGACTTAAGTATCTGACTTACGTAGTGGGATGATTGTATCATTGGGTTTTTAATTTGTTTGTCCATTACATCCGAGTGTGTTCAAGGTTCATTCCTGGTGGGGCTGGGAGGATGTGGTAGGATGCTGGGGATCAAACTTGGTTTTGGTGCGTGGAAGCCTAACATCTGCTGTACTCTCTCTGGCTCCCTCATGAGTGCTTTTGGAGAGGAAGCAGATTGGAAGAGGTAGTTTCAAGATCATGGTTGCTCTAGTAGAGATGAGTATACAGTTGGATATATGACTTGAAATTCAAACATGTTTGTGTTGAAGATAAATATTTAAGGATCACCAGCATAAAGCAATATCATGCTGATCCTCAACATCTTTTATTTCTTTTTGATGATGATGATGATGATGATGATTTTGCCAACTTTAGCAATGCGTAGGGGCTTCTTCTGACTCTGTGCTTGGAGGTTGCTCCCAGTTGTGCTTGAGAGGATAGATAATAGATCTCTTTGGGGCTGGGGCAATAGACTGTGGGTAAGGTGCTTGTCGTTCATGTGACCAGCTGGGATTTGAGCCCTGGCACCCCATATGGTACCCTTAGCCCCACCAGGAGTCATCCCAGAGCACTGCCAGGTGTGACTCAAAAGAAAAAGGAAAAATGATCTCTCTGAAAGTTGAGTAGAATTGATAAATTCTGGATTCATCTGGACCTGGGATTTTATTTTTGGGGAGTTTCTGGGTCACTGTTATATATTCTTTATTAGTGAATGGTCTGTTAGGGTTTTTAATTTTCTCCTGATTCAGTTTTTGGAGGTTGATTGGCTTCATCAAGTCTGAAACATCTTCTATCCATCAAATAGAGCCCAAGTCAAATTAGGCAGTTTGATAGTTGAGAGAGAGAGAGAGAGAGAGAGAGAGAATTCAGAGAGAGGTTTGAACCGGACAGACACGTTCATGACTCATCTGCACATCTATGGGTTTTACAGCTGTGAGACTTTAATGAGACCTCATAAAAACAAGGGAGTTTAGTCCTATGACAAAGCAGAGGGCTCAGGAAGATCAGGAACACCACTGAAAATCCAGGAGGGGTAAGAGAGAGTGAAAGTGAGAGAAAGAGAGAGAGAAAAAGGAAAACCTATTTATTCTGGAAACCAGTGGGAAGTAAATGATCTAAGTGCTCCCTTGTGATTTAAGAAGTGATTACCCAGTTGTTTTCTTATATTGCTGAGAGCTTGAGTTAAGTGAGAACTGAGAAAACTGAGAATTGATCATCAGAATAGCAATAAGATGATGAATAATCTTATTGGTCATCTTGAATAACTTTACAGAAAATAAAATTTAAAATGATTTTTTATGAAATACAGGTTAATCTTGGACAGATGTTAATAATTCACTCCACATATTATAAGTGCTAATGATTATATTGTGACTTAAGTTATATATCAATAAAAATAGGTGATTTATGAATTGATTATATTTAGGTGATATAAAGAAAAGACCAAAAAGATTCTTTTTTATTCATCTTTTAGTCAATAATGGCAGTTTTTAGGGGATTTTGGTTAGCATACTTTTCACGATGATCCTCCTCCTGCATTTTAAGATAAGGTCTGGAGCGATAGCACAGCGGGTAGGGCGTTCGCCTTACAAGCGGCCAACATGGCCGACCCGAGTTCGATTCCTCCACCCCTCTCGGAGAGCCCGGCAAGCTACCGAGAGTATTCGATATGCCAAACACAGTAACAACAAAGTCTCCAATGGAGACGTTACTGGGCCCGCTCGAGCAAATCGATGATCAACGGGAGGGCCTTTACCTTTGGCTGGAGCGATAGCACAGCGGGTAGGGCGTTCGCCTTACAAGCGGCCAACATGGCCGACCCGAGTTCGATTCCTCCGCCCCTCTCGGAGAGCCCGGCAAGCTACCGAGAGTATTGGATATGCCAGACACAGTAACAACAAAGTCTCCAATGGAGACGTTACTGGGCCCGCTGGAGCAAATCGACGATCAACGGGAGGGCCTTTACCTTTACCTTATAAGATTCTATGATGGAGAAATTTCCAATCTCATATTAAAATAATCTTTGTGTGGTTCTGGAGCAGTAGTAGAGTAGGTAGGTGCTGGCATTGTATACAGCTGATTGAGTTTTGTCTCTAGCATCCAGTATGATCCCTCTGAGCTCGGCAGGAGTGACCCCTGAGCACAGCCAGGAGTCAGTCCTTGAACACTACTGGGTATGACCCCCAAACTTTAAAAAGTCTTTGTGAAGGTTTCATCTATTTGTAACTTTTCTTTTGCTTTGTTTTTTGATGGCCAGTTTCTAGAATATATGTTGCCCTATGCTGTACCTTTAAAAAAATATAGCTTTAGGGACCAGAGCAATAGTGCAGTAGGGAGGGTGTCCGGTTCGATCTCTGGCATCCCATATGGTGCCCTGAGCACCACTAAGAGTAATTCCTGAGTGCAGAACCAGGAGTAACCCCTGAGCATCACTGGATTTGACCCAAAAAGCAAAAAAACAAAACAAAAGCAACAAAAAAGTAGTGTAGGTTGAAAATGTGTTAATACACAGTTCTATTTAAAATGCTTCAAGAAAGTCATTTTGGGAATTGTTAATCATAGAGTTTTAACCTGAACCATTTTCTTTAATGAACGTTGTTGTCTATCTTGATGTTGTTTAGGAAGATTTTTACCTCTGAAGACAATGTTAGGACCAAGATATGACAGTCAAGTTGCTGAAGAAAATCGCTTCCATCCCAGTATGCTCTCAAATTATCTGAAGAGTTTGAAGGTAAGAGATGCAACAATTTTGAACATGGATATCATTATTATTAATATTAGTTATTGCAGGGGATGTTCCTGGCATTGCTTGGTACTCAGGGCCTGGATATTTCTGGCATTGCTTGGGACTCAGGGCCAGGATGTTCCTGGCAGTGCTTGGGACTCTGGGCCAGGGCCACAGCAGGCATTGCTTACGGGCCCTTAGAACTACTCCTGATAGTGTTCAGGGGGCCTCTGTGGTATGGGGGATCAAACCCAGGGCCTTACACATGAGAGGCATGTTCTCTACTTTCAGCCATATCCATGACTTCCTGTTGCTCATTAAAAAAATGGGGAGGGGGCTGGAGATATAATACAGTAGGTATGGCGCTTGCCTTGCACGCGGCCAACTTGGGTTTGGTTCCTGGCATCCCATATGGTCCTCTGAGCACCACCGGGATAACCCCCGAGCATCACAAGATGTGGCCCAAAAACAAAAAAATTGAATTTTATATTTTGCCTTATACTTAAATTATTACTGTGTTGTTGGTGTGATGGTGGTGGTGCCCTGTGGGGGTCACACACTTGAATATACTACACTGGGGTTGCACTTGTGCTTGGCTGTTGGAGGCAGTTCAAGGGTTCAAAGGTAAGTGCTCTACTGCTGACACAGACCTAATATCTATGTTTCAGGGCCGGAGAGTTAATTTAAGATGGTTGCTTTGCTTGTTTTGATGGATTGAGCACTCCCAACACTTCCCCCCAACACCTCCCCCCCATGCCCCATCACTGCCTCCCCAATCCCCAGCACTGCATATGGTGTTTTAAACACTGTCAGGAATGATCCCTCTTGCTCCACTCTCCTGGTTCTCCTCTTAAGAAACATGCCTTCTTTAGAACATATGTATGTTGCTTTTTCTCATATTTTTCAGGTGGCTTGATTTTTTTTTTTTTTTTGACGGGACACTCCAGGTTACGCGTTAGGGATCATTGATGCTGGGGATCAAATATGGGGCTCCTACATGCAAAGTGTGTACTCTGGCCCTTTAAACCATCTTCTCAACTCCAGTGGTTTATTTATTTTTTGTTTTGGGCCAGACACGAAAGTGATCAGGGCTTACTCCTGACTCTGTGCACGGATCACTCCTGTGATACTTGGAGGACCATCTGCAGTGTGGGGATAGAATCAGAACTGGCTGCATGACCAGGCAAGGGCCTTCATCCCTGTATTCTTCCTGTACTCTTTCCAGAGACAATGGCTTAAGGTCCCCCCCCCACCCCCCCACATCCAGTGGTGCGCAGGGCATAATCCTAGCTCTCTGCTTAGGGATTACTCCAGGTGGTGCTTGGGGGACTGTATGTGGTGCTGGGGATCCAACCAAGTTGGCCATGTGCAAGGCAGGCACCCTACCTGCTGTACCATCTCCATCCCTAGCTAAAAATTGTAAATATATTTTGAAATAGCAGCTCAAAGAGAGTTGCCAGAACTGTATGTTGTGTTCTGTGAACCCTTCCCTCAACTATTCTTAGTGGTGGTATCTTATATAATTATAGTTTAATAAAAAGGGCTGGAGCGATAGCACAGCGGGTAGGGCGTTTGCCTTACAAGCGGCCAACATGGTCGACCCGAGTTCGATTCCTCCGCCCCTCTCGGAGAGCCCGGCAAGCTACCGAGAGTATTCGATATGCCAGACACAGTAACAACAAAGTCTCCAATGGAGACGTTACTGGGCCCGCTCGAGCAAATCGAGGATCAACGGGAGGGTCTTTACCTTTACCTTAATATTAAAAGCAGTAAGTCGGTTAGCCGACTTACAGGAGGCTAGGTGCTTGCCTTGTATGTGGTCAACTCTGCTTGCATCCTGGCACCACATATGACCCCTGAGCATCATGACTCATGAGCACCATTGGGTGTGGCTCAAATTCCTCCTCTCCTCACACAAAAAAAATAGGAAGTTGGCATTAGAGCACACTGGGTTTTTTTTTTTTTTTTTTGCTTTTTGGGTCATACCCTGCGATGCTCAGGGGTTACACCTGGCTCTGCACTCAGGTATTACTCTTGGCAGTGCTTGGGGACCATATGGGATCAACCCTGGTCGGCAGCATGCAAGGCAAATGCCCTACCCACTGTGCTCTCGCTCTGGCCTTGGAACACATTGTTAACTAGATTTAACTTAGTTTATAAAAACCAGTTTCTGTATGCATTTACATGTTTATAATTTTGTGCAGTTTGATCAAGTGTATGCATTTGCGATGTTGATTATAGAGCTCTTCCATTTCTGTAAAACAACTCACTTTGGGAAAGACTGCCTATAATAATGGAGTCAGATCATATAAAAACTAGCATTTTTACAGATCCAGCAGTAGGAAATCAATAATATCAATAACAACAAAAGAGAGAAAAATGATTATTTAATAAAAAAAAGTACAGGTTTTTGGGGAACTGGAGAGATAAAGAATGTGTAGTGGGTAAGGTACTTGCCTTCTATGCAGCTGACCTGGGTTTGATCCCTGGCATCCCTGTGGTCCTCTAAGCACCACCAGGAGTGATTCCTTAGTGCAGAGCCAGGAGTAAAAAAACCTGAGCACCACCAGATGTGGCCCCAAAACAAACAAAAAAAGATACAGATTCTCCCTCCTCCCCCTCCCCTCCATTCTTTCCTGAGAGCATTTAATTCAGAATGAGGTGAAAGTTGTGAGAATTAACTTATTTTTACTGGACTCATTGTTGTTGTACATTTCTGGTCAAGACTGTTTTGCTAGGCCAAATGTTATTCCAGTTATTTTCACACCTCTTGGCCCCTGAATGCAAGCCTATTGTTTTGAGTTGGTGCTCAGCAGAAGTAATGTATTTTGTTCCAGTACAGGAAGAAAAACTGGTTGAGAGATGGAATTAAGTCTCCAACAAGATACACAGTAGGACCATATGTAATTTTCTTTACCAGAGAATTAGTGAGGGAATTTGCACTGTCCATACTCTTTGCACTATATGCTGCTAATTTGGTAATTTCTCTGCCTTACCCAATGTAGTAATGAATGTGTAGACTGACTTGATGGGTACCTAGAGTTGGGGTTAGGGCATATTTCAGATAGATGCTGAACCTATTCTGATCTGTTACTTAACAACTTGAAGGTTGAAAGGCAGATGCAGAAAACTATGTCAGTTTTTCTTTTGTTTTTTAGGTAGATTTTTTTTTTTTTTAGGTAGATTTTTGTGATGACCATTAGCCTACATTCTTGGTTCTTCATTAGTTTGCAGGTTAATTTTTTTTTTCTAGTGCCTTTGATTAAGATTTGGGTAAGTGCTTATTTCTTTGTCAATAGTTATTGGCAAAAGAGAACATATAATCTCCTTTAGTGTAGTTGGATGAATTTACCATTTAGTTCACATCTTTTGGGACAAATTCAGTTACTACTTGATCACCCCTTTTTTTAAGGTTAAAATGGGCTTGTTGGTGGATCTGACAAATACTTCAAGATTCTATGACAGAAATGATATAGAAAAAGAAGGAATCAAATATATAAAACTTCAGTGTAAAGGGTAAGTTGTGTATTAGACTTTTTAATGTTAAAGTCTTTCGTTGGAATTTTTAATCTCTTTAAAAAAAAATGTTTCCATATTACTAGACATGGTGAATGCCCTACTATTGAGAATACTGAGACATTCATTCGTCTGTGTGAGCGGTTTAATGAAAGAAACCCACCTGAACTTATAGGTATGTTTGACTTTCCTTATTACTGTCCAGTATTTGATGTTGTAATTGGGCTTCCATCATTTCTTTTGCAAGTACGTTGATTGGTAAGTTTTTTCTTTTAATAAAATGAGCACCAAACATTGTTTACTAAAGAGTGACTTTTGTGAACTGTAAAATATATTTTTGAAATTTTAATGGTTTTCAGTGATTGCCCCCTTTAGGTTGTGAAACCACCTTAAGCACTGCATATTTACTGACGTGTTTTCTACAGATATGAATTTTGTACTGTATCACTATTTAAAATTTTTTGCTTCAGTATTGGATTTGAAGCGATCAATGATTTCATAATTATTCAGGTTTTGCTACAGTGTAGCATTCCACCCTAAACATATAGTTCAGCATTTCTTTTTCTTTTTGTTTGTTTGTTTGTTTTGCTTTTTGGGCCACACCCGGCGATGCTCAGGGGTTATTCCTGGTTCTGCACTCAGGAATTACTCCTGGAGGTGCTCAGGGGACCATATGGGATCCTGGGAATCGAACCCGGGCTGGCCGCATGCAAGGCAAATGACCTACCCACTATGCTATCGCTCCAGTCCCAGTTCAGCATTTCTTATTTGTTAAAAATTAAAAAAAAATAGTTATACCTCTGGTTATTGGAATGTAGGTAATATAGGAGATATGGCCGAAGGGGTGGAGCACATGCTGAGAGGGGTTGGGGGGCTGTGCGGTGCTGGGGAGTGACTTGAACCCGAGCATATGCTCTGTCCGTTTGAGCCATATTCCATCCTTGTAAGCATTCCTTATTGTGGTTTCAGTTAAGGCAGATTGTGTATAAGAGGGTGGTCCCAGTGTGCTGTGTCATGTAGCATAGATGTTCAAGATGTTCAGTAGAGGATGTATAGATTTAAATAGTTGCAACTTGCTCAGAATGAATCCCTGTTGTTAGGCAGTGTCATGGCCAGTTTTTTTTTTTTCTATTTTCTTTTTGGGTCACACCTGGTGTTGCACAGGGGTTACTCCTGGCTGTGCTTGGGGGACCATATGGGATGCTGTAAATTGAACCCGGGGCAGCTGCGTGCAGGGCATATTCCCTACCCGCTGTGCTATCGCTCCAGCCCTAATGGCCAGTTTTTTAAAATTTAATTTTTTATAATTAAAAACAATTTTTTAAGCAAGCATTTATTTAATTTTTGGTAGTGCCAGCAAGGATCAACTCTAAGGTCTCACACTTGAGTTCTTGGCTTGTCACCATTTATTTATTGTTACACGTTGCCAGGCATAGTTCTTGGACCGTATTAGGAGGAAAAAAAACTAGGGAAAAAGTTTCTATTTTTCTGGAGCTTGTAGTGTAGCATGGACTGTGGGCAAGGGAGCTACACCAGGCAAGAAAACAACGTGTGAAAAATAATTGTCTGAAAATGACATGTGAGTTATTTTCAGCTTTTAAGTTTTCATTCATGGGATGATTTTTGGGCCTTCCTCAGCAGTGAAGGGATGCTTTCTTCTCTGTGTGGTGGGACCTTGCTGGATTGAATTTAGGATTCCTGAATGCAAAGCCTGTGCTTGGCCCACTGAGCCGTCTCTCTCTGGACCTTATCATAGGGATTGTGTTTATTTGGTTCTTGTGTTAGTCCACACCTGGTGGTGTTCAGGGCTCACTCCTGGCTCTGCACTCAGGGACTGGTTTTGCGGGGGCTCGGGGGGCCAGGGACTGAACTTGGGTCAACTGCGTACAGGGCAAGTGCCTTACCTGCTGGCCTATCTCCCTGGCCCTGCAATTCATAAGTCTGAGCATTTGTTCTGACATCTTAAAGCTTTGTCATTGTATTTTCTCTGGCAAAAAGCAAAAACCTTTTCCCTTGTGTGCAGGATACCCATGTTCAACCTGGGGATCAGACCCCTGGGTACCACTGGGTGGTCATCAGGTTGGGATAGACCTTGAATACTGCTGGTTATGCACCCCTCCCCCTCAGCAACAATAAAATGTTAGGGGGAAAAGAGGTGGTTATTCAATAAACGGTATTGACAGTTTAAAATATATTTTAAGGGTGGGTATGTTGCCACCAGCAGGTCAGTCTGTACCTGTGAGGCGAGTGCACCAGCAGCCTGATGGCGCCTTCAGACTTCCAGATACCCAAAATTTGCTGCTGTACTTTTTGCCAGACCCCAAAAACTTGGGGCAAAGTTTACCAAGAAAGTAAACGGCCAAAAGTTAGGTATGTGGGAAACACACCCACAGACCACCTCCGGCTCAGCTATATAATTGGAGGCATGGCCTCTCTGGTTCCTGATTGAACTGCTTAATGGCCATGATGCCAGAGACTCAGAAACAAATCTCGAAATGCAGTGGCTTTTGGCAGAAATGCGTCTAGTCCCTGCAGTAGGTTACAGGTGCTGGGCCAACCCAGATGGAATAGTTTTCGTGCTTTGGCCTGTTCTCCCTTGTGACCCAGTGGCTGCCATCTTTCAGAGACCACTGTACAGTTAGGTTTGGGCCCCCAGTGACGAGATGCAGGGCCTCACAGGTTGGAGGTGGAGCCAGTCCTGTCCTCCCCACCCCAACAAGACCCCAAGTCATCACCCACGAACGGCCTCTCTGGCTCCTGATCAAGCTGTTTATTAATGGCCATGATCCCAGAAACTCAGAAACAAATTTCAAAACCCAGTGGCTTTTGGCAGAAATGTGTCCAGACCCCATAGTACGTTACTGTCACTGGGCCACCCCAGGGAGGAAAGGGTGTTGTCACTCTGCCTGCTCCACCTTGGCGGCTTGGTGACTGTCATCCTCCAGAGGCCATTGGACAGTCAGGCTTGGGTCTGCAGTGACGAAACTTGTTGGGCCTCATGGGATGGGGGAGAGCCGGGCCTGTCCTCCCCACCCCAGCGAGACCCCAAGTCATCGCCCACAAACGGCCTCTCTGGCTCCTGATCAAGTTGCTTAACGGCCTTGATCCCAGAGACTCAGAAACAAATCTCAAAACCCAGCGGCTTTTGGCAGAAATGCGTCCGGACCCCGCAGTAGGTTACTGTTGCTGGACCACCCAAGGGGGGAAAGGGTTCTGTCCCTCCGCCTGCTCCCCCTTGGCAGCTCAGTGGCCGTCATCCTCTAGAGGCCATTGGACAGTCAGGTCTGGGCCCGCAGTGACAAAACTTGTTGGGCCTCACAGGATGGGGGTGGAGCCGGTGCTGGTCTCCCCGTCCCAACGAGACCCCAAGTCATTGCCCATGAACGGCCTCTCTGGCTCCTGATCAAGCTGCTCAATGGCCATGATCCCAGAGACTCAGGAGCGAATCTCGAAACCCAGTGAGTTTTGGCAGAAATCCCTCCAGATTTAAGTGTTAAAATTTCGGAATTTCAAAATCACATGGCTCTACTGCAGCCACGTGACATCATATGTTATTCATAACCAACAATAGAACACAAATTGTCTACTGTTACCTTTTCAGCAGATCTGAGAGTTGGGGTAAAATCTGAAATAATAATGGTGGGTCTGGTGTTGAAATATTGAATGTGATCAAAGTAGAGAGAGAGTAATGTGGAAATCATCTGCCCCACAGGTAGGGGGAGGGTGTGGGATGGGGGTATACTGGGGTTTTTGGTGGTGGAGAATGGGCACTGGTGAAGGTATGGGTGTTTCATTGTATGACCAAGACTTAAACCCAAAAGCTTTGTAACTGCTCTCACGGTGATTCAATAAATAAAATTATAAAAAATGAAAACAAAATATATTTTAAGTTAAGAGACTTTAAAATGTTGTTAAGTGGGGCCGGAGCGATAGTACAGCCGACCCCTGGGTTAGATCCCTGGCATCCCATGTGGTCAGTGATTACTGAGTGCAGAACCAGGAGTAACCCCTGAGCATCACCGGGTGTGAGGCCCCCCCCCCAAGAAAACCAAAAGAAAAATACAATGATATCAATAGTATACGAGAAAATATAGGGACTGGGAGAGAGAGCAGAGTGCGCTGAACATGTGTGTTTTTTGGGGGGTGTGTGGGGGGGCTTTGTTGGATCCAGTTTTCCAGAGCACTCTTGGAACACAGAACCAAGAGTAGCCCCCAGCACTGCCAGAAGCCAACAACAACAACAAAATAAAGAGGGAAATAAAGATTGGAGAACTTTTTGTTTTGCTTTGTTTTGTTTGTTTTTGGAGCACACCTGGCAGTGTTCAGGGATTTGCTCTCAGGGGTCACTCTGGTGGGCTTTGGGGGGACCATATAAGGTGCTGGGAATTGACCTTGGGTCAGCTGCATGCAAGGCAAATGCTGTACTATCTCTCTGATCCCGAAAATTTTAGAAATAGAGAAAATGTGGGAGAGAATTTTTTGTTTGTTTTGGGGGTGTCACATCTGGTGGTGCTTGGGAATCATTTGCTGCCGCTAATACTCAGAGGCCTGTTACTCTGGCCCTCTTGAGTCATTCATCACACCCACAAATATTTACATTCAGTGTTTTGTACTACCTGGTCTGGCTTATCTGAAGTCGCTTATTATAAATGTGTTTGAGGAGCTGGGGGTGAGCTCAATGAGCTGTGAACTTTGCATGCACGGAGACCTGGGTGTGATCCCTGGCACTGCATGATCCTCTGAGTACCTTCGAGGACATGCCTCAGCCATAGAAGAGGTAGTTACCTCTACTCATGGCTCAAGTAGGCACCCCCTCTCCCACTTCCTACCCCCTCCCCCCAAAAAAGAAACCCAAACAAAAAACTTGGGGTTCCCATTCCAGACTTACATAATCAAAAATCCTGGGTGTTGGGACCAGAGAGCTAGTACAGGGTATAAGGCTCTCCCTTCACACACAGCTGCCCCAGTTTGCTCTCTGGCATCCCCCGGTCCCCACCGTTGAGTGCAACCCTGGCGACCTCGAACCCTGAGCTCTGCTTTTGTGGCCCAGCCTTTCCCCAGCACCGCCTCCTCAGACCCTGGTGTTGAACCGCCACTATGTTGACTGAACCGCGGGAAGGAGGCTCCAGAATTTTTGGTTATTATGTCTGGCCTGGGGTCCTGAACCTTTTTTTT